TTTTAATGTGCCCTGCTTCTGTTTTGATAGTCACCCACTCAGGGTTTTGTGCCTCTTTTCATGCCGTCCCCTGTGCCTGGAAAGTCTCTCCTGGTTAAAATGCATCTCAGTATGACATCCACAAGCCAATCTGCATTGGCTGCCATGGCACATGTGCTTCTTTTCTTGTACAATATTGTACCCTTTAGAGGTACTGGGGAAGAAAATTGCTTGCTAGTTATCTACTTGGTGGAGGTGAAGAACACCTGGGTATTTGGAATTGGCATTTGCTTGCTATTAGCAGAACATGAGAGGTTATAGACATAAATTCTTGAGCAGAAATAACAAAGTATATTGCAGAAGATGCTGGAATAGTCTCTGTACTCTGTTCGACTGGCTTTACTAGCATAGTAATATCTGCACTGTGATGCAGTTTGTAATCATGTATTTTAAAGACAGACACAATGAAGATTTGAGTGATATGAGAAGGCCCCTTTGCTGCCTGCTTTGCCTACATCTCTAAAACTTTGTCATGATAAATTTTAATTTACACATTGAAATAAAAATAATGTGCACACCTGGTAGTCGCAGGAAATGACAGGCAGGCACTTGGTGAACGCTGAATAGTGCTTTCTTAAACTCATGTTCATTTTTTTCTCCTAATAAAGAAAAATAGCCCAGCATCTTTGATTTTGACTGCCACAGAGAATCACAATATTATTTAAAATTCCACATTTCCCCCTGTGCATGGGGTGTCTTTCTTGGGTGGATATGCCAGGAATCTAGTCCTGTCCTCATTCAAATCCCTCCGCAAGATTCACCTCTGACATGATACCTACCAGAAAGAGCCGAGCTCATTTCGTTGTTACAAATTCTGCCCCACTGTGCTGTGCGCTTGACCTGATCTGGAAAGACACTGAGCATCCTCTGCTCTCAGGAGTCCGGGAGATTCTCAGCACCTCCGAGCATCAGACCCTAAATATGTAATCTCTTTGCTGTGACCTTTGTCTGTTCTTTCCCCTTCTGTTTTTTTAGTTTACCCTATTATTGTGTCACATCTGAAATTTGATTGTAGGCTCTTAAGGGCAGGCTCCCTGCCTTATTATCAGTATTGTGAAGAGCCTAGCAAACTTTAGACTCTGAGAAATAACAACAGTGACTAGGATTTTCAAAGCAGCTGTGAGATTAGGCACCCAAGTCTCTCTGAAATTCTGCTTCGTTAGGATCCTTTCAGCATCCCAGCCAGAAATATCATCAGTCTTCCCAGGTGGTCATTATGGCTCTATGTTCAGAGACTACCCTTTGGTGTGATTATGACTTAAGACCATGCAATATATTGATGTGGCTTATTGCACGATTCATTTCAAAAAGGAACAAATATGACAGCTATTTACCATTCCTGCAGGCTCAAAAGTAACCTGCTAAGAAAACTCAAAATTAAATAATCCCAGAGTTATGTTCTGAATGCCACACTGACCATGCTGTAGGGGTAATTCAGCACTGAACTAAGTTTTAACTCCAGTCCTCAGACCAATGTTTAAAACCTTAGGGTTGCCGACTTTCTACTCGCACAAAACCGAACACCCTTGCCTCATCCCCTGCCCTGCCCCTCCTCTGAGGCCCCATCCATGCCCTGCCCCTTCTCCAAGACCCCGCCCCCCACTCACTCTATCTCCCTCCTTGTGTTGCTCGCTCTCCCCACCCTCACTCACTCACTCATTTTCACCGCATTAGCTCAGGGGGCTGGAGTGCAGGAGGGGGTGAGGGCTCCAGTGGGGGATGCAGGCTCTGGGGGCGGGGGGGCACAGAAATGAGGAGTTCAGAATGCAGGAGGGGGCTCCAGGCTGAGGCACTTGGTTGGAATGAGAGAGGGGTGAGGGCTCCAATTGGGGGGTGCAGGCTCTGGGGTGGGGACCGGGATGAGGGGTTTGGGGTGCAGGAGGGGGTTCTGGGCTAGGGGGTGGAGCTAAGGGTTTTGGAGTATGGGAAGGGGCTCCAAACTGAGGCAGGGATTTGGGGTTTGGGAGGAGCTACGGGATCTGGGCTGGGGGGTGTGGGTTCTGAGTTGGGATCAGAAATGAGGAGTTCAGGGTGCAGGAGGGGCTTGGGGTATGTGTGGGGGTGAGAGCTCCAGCTGGGGGTGTGGGCTCTGATGTGGAGCCAGGAATGAGGGATTTGGGGTACAGGAGGGGGCTCCAGACTGGGTCTGAGGGGTTTGGAGTGAGGGATGGGTGTGAGGGCTCCAGCTAGGGATGCAGGCTCTGGGTGGGGCCGGGGATGAGGGGTTTGGGGTGCAGGAGGGTGCTCCAGGCTTGGACTGAGGGGTTCGGAGGGTGGGAGGGGGCTCAGGGCTGGGGCAGGGGCAGGGGGTCCGGGCATGGGGGAGGGGTCAGGGTGCAGGCTCTGGGTGGCGTTTATCTCAAGCAGCTCCCAGAAGCAGCGGCATGTTCCTCCTCCAGCTCCTATGCGGAGGCACAGCTAGGCTACTCTGCGCGCTGCCCCATCCACAGGCGCCACCCCTGCAGCTCCCATTGGCCACAGTTCCCTGCCAGTGGGAGCTGCGGTGGTGGCGCTTGGGGTGGGGGCAGCGTGCGGAGCCCCCTGGTTGCCCCTACACATAGGAGCCAGAGGGAGGACATGCCGGCTGCCTCCCGGGAGCTATGCGGTACGGAGGCTAGCCAGGAATCTGCCAGCCCCACTGTGCGGTGCTGCAAACCAGAGATTCAATGGCCCGGTGAACCTCCAGGATCCCTTTTCAACCGGATGTTCTGGTCAAAAACTGGACACCTAGTCAGCCTAGAGGACCGATGAAAGTCTGCTGGTCTTCTGGATTCTCAAAGGTAGCCCAGAATGCAAATGTTGATGTCAAGAGGTGTCCCAGAATGATGCCTAGTGGGACATTTGTAATGAATTGAGACAAGAAGCAGACTTTCACAGGAGTCCCAACAGAATTTCCCCTAAAGCTACTCTGTGTCTGCTTTCTAGGACTTCCCCATCCTCCTCGTTCCTGGCATCTTCCTACAGATTTAAAGAAACAGTGCACGTGTTCTCATAAGGGCTGCTGAGTTGGCAGGGAGGGTGCGGAAAAGCAAGTGCATTCTCCACACCCCCCTCGGAATCTGAGAATTATTGCATCCACTGTGCACTTGAACGTCCCGAGTGGTTAGCATCAATTGTCTGCGGCTGCACAGACATTATCGGTGTAATCATATTCCTAATAGGAGTGATGGTTGAGACTGTTTGATAAAATGATCATTTGTTTTTGGGTGGAGTAAGATACAGACCTCTCATCCTCGATAGAGCTGTTATTCTTAAAAAGTTATTAGATATTTAGAGGGGTTCAGAAAATAATTTGTAATAGTTGGGAGCTAAGAGTTCTGTATCTCTTAATGATGCATAAGTTTTGCTTTGAAAATAATGAACTGCAGGCAGCTCTTATTTCCAGCCTGTTATGAACAGATTGTTCATTAGAATGACTGACGGAGAGAAGTTTGCTTTTTGTGATTGGGATACAGAATTATGCTGTTAGGGATGTGCTAAGATTAATCTCCCCAGTTATTTAACAGTGACACACACGTTCGTGGAGAGGAGTTTGAAGGATTAGCAGTTGACTGCAGCTGTACCATCTCCAGCTGTGATGTTGTCAGATCTCATAGGCGAAGGCTGGGAGACGCTTCAAGGAGCTGCAGAATGATGATAACTAAATATGAGGCATTCTTCACACTGAGTCAGTACTGAACCAATGCTCAGCATAGTGCTGGGGTTACTGTGCTGCTTCGGGACCAGCTTTCAGCTGTCTATCTAAGATAAGCAGATGGCACCATCACCATAGTATCTGAGGGTTTGTCTACATTGTGGCATGGCCACTGCTGGCCCAGGTCAGCTGACTCAGGCCATGGGGCTCTAAAGTCTCAGTGTAGATGTTTGGGCTCAGGCTGGTCTCTCTGAGGGAGCTGACCCAGGCTCCGAGTGCCATGGATGTTTTAATTGCAGTGTAGACGTACCCTCAGTGCCTCACAATCTTTAAAGTATTTATCCTCACGCCATCCCTGGGAGCTATGGAAGGACCATTATCCCCATTTTACAGACGGGGAACTAAGGCACAGAGAGACTAGGTGACTTGTCCAAGGCCATACAGAAAGTCTATGGCAGAGCAGGAAATTAAACCCAGGTCCCCCAATTCCTAAGCTAGTGCCCCTTGGACCAGCCTTCCAGAGGTCCTGGAACCAAATGGTCATTTAAAGATCCATTTAATATTTATAGTACAGTAGCAGTTAGAGACTCTGATCAACATTGGGGCCCCACTGAGAAGCAGACACAGTTCCTGCCCGGAAGAGCTTACAATTCAAGAAAATGAGCCACATACCAAAGTTAGGGAAGAGGGAAGCAATCCGATATATGTATTTTTATATACAGACATACATATGGGGGTTGGTGTGTGTATGGGAGCGGGTGTATGGCCTTACAGGGTGTGATGAGGCCATTCTGTACATGGGGAATGGCAGGGAAGAAAATGCAAACTAAGCGGAGCCAACAAGTGGGTGGTCATAACTGTTATTGTTGGTGGAGTGGAAGGGGGTGATGCTGTAATAGGTGTGGTACTTTTTGCAACAATAGGGGTGTTTCTTGACCATGTTTCAATGTGGGCAGTTGCATTCTGCCTTTTTAATATCACTTTCCCCCCCCACACACACACGTATGTACAATTAGGGTATTGTATTGTCCTTCACTTCTGTCTAGGTTTTAAAATCATGGCCATCAGTATGATATCTGAGCACCTTAACTAGTATTAACTGCAGTGGATACTGACATCCTTCCTTTCATGTAGAAATGTCATGCATTGTTTTACATCTGCTCTGTTCCATCCTGGAGGTGACTGCATTTCAGCAGTACATGAAATAAACTGGCTTTGGCTGTCATTACCAATTAAAACATCTGGTCTGATCATTTCCTATTAGGATCCCTGGATACATCTATACTTCCTTTAACAGTCAATGTTTTTATCTCTCTGAATGTTGTAGCTGGGTCATGATGGTGCCACACCAGAGAGCTCCTGGCTAGTAGAAGAGCTAACACTCATTGTGCCCACTAAAGGGGTCATGTATACCTTTGTCTGTAAATGCTGGCTGGCCAGGGACCGAGGGGATGGTCTCACTTCACGTGTCTTCAACATCCTGGATGCAGATTGTGTTAACATTGGCCACAAGGTATGTTCTAAGATGTTGTTACTCTTTAGCAATTAAATTAAAACCTACCTCTATATAAGTGTGTATGTGCCATATATGATAACAGATTATAACATAACTACAGTGAATACATTTGTAAACTACTGTACTTTCTACATGAGGTTTGGGTTTCTTATTTTTAAAAGGTATCTTTATTATTTATTTATAATTTTTGCTTAGTATCATTACCTGTGATAAAGCACTGTATATATTTGCAATTCTAAAAAAATAATTTCTAATCTGTTATATTGTATGCACAGGAAATAATTTCAAAGTTAACAAAGTAAGATGTGACTTTTTGTTTGAATGAAGTTTGCGGATTGTTTTTGTACAAAGTTTGTGTTTCAGAAAAAAAATATTTTTGTTTTTGCTCAATTAAAAGAAAGCATCTGGAAACCATTAGACTTTTATAGCTTTGCTTATCTCTTGAATCAAGTACCAAATGATTTAAATCAAATGTAGCCAAGAAAAATTAAAAAGAAAAGACAAAAACCACTATATATATATATATAAACATTTGAGATGAAATGTTGTGTGCTATATTTTAACCCAATACAAATTTAAAAAGCCTGAATTATGCAGTCCTTGGAAATAAGATTCATAATGGAAATACTAGCAGACAATAATGTTGACGAGTGAGACAATAATACAGTTTTGGTCTGAAATCTCTGTTGGTAAATCTATATTCACAGCTAAATCACCCTACTGGTAAAACAGTAATTTCATACATTGCTCCTGACTTCCAATTAAATGAAATTTACTCATAAAATCTTTTTTGTACCCCAGACAAACAGAAGTATAATAACATTTTCTACTGACAGACACAGCCACTGCACACAGCCTTCAACAGTAGAACCTAGTGCACTCATAAAGAAGACTTTGGGCAGAAAACTGGGACTAAGATCTACTTTATCTGAAACGTTCCACCAGTTCTTTAACTTTCACCTTGACAGCTTTCAAAGAGTCACACCAGAGACCTCCTCTAATGTGTCATCCATAAATCAATATTGATGCTAATTAAGGTTTAAGCTTAGTTTTCCATTAAAAGCTCAGTGTTGCCAACCACTTCCTTAAGTTTACCAAAAGTAATTCCACCCACCTGAAATCTCATATGTGAAGTTATGCCAGAATTTTGCTGGAAAATTTAGGGGAAATTAGGGACAGTGTCTGAGAGCTGAGAGTTCAAATACTGAAGGGTAGGTTTCACTTTTCGAACAGTTCATAACATATTCTGTCCCATCTTTCCTTATAAATGTCTTGGATCAGAAACTCCAAATTTGTTGGCATTGGTGAGGACTGGCACCTTTAACTATTTTTGGAAAGTTAATGGTATGATTTTTCTTCACCTCCTGCACAGCTGCCGCATAATTTAAATGTATCAGTTTTAATTTATTTTCCCTCCTATTCCTTTGACACTCTTGAATAATGTGGCATCCATGACTGATGCCTATAAAACCTACATAACGTATCACACCAATAAGGAGTACAGTGTATTGGGACAGTTTCAGATATCCCTCCACTGATAAACCCAAGGGCCTTAGTTACCATGAAAAACATCTGCAAGAGTGCCTAAGTGACTTAGGTAACTAAGTCCCATTGACTTTCAGAGGGACTTCTAGGTCACTTAGGTGCTTTTTGAAATGTTATTGAAAGTCCCATGGAGCATTGGGACTCAGGGACCTAAATCACGTAGGTGCTTTTGAAATATTTTACCCCATGAGTCCAGCTGTTTACATCTCAGAGAAAGAGAATAAAGTAAAACTAATATGTTGAAAACGACCCCAAGTAGCATTCCTATGCATAAGCTGGCACAACTTTAAAGTCTGATATCTTGGGACCTTCCAGAGCTAGATGCAAGTACTGTGTGTCGCACTGGGAGAGTGGGAATCTCCACTTTGCCATGGCTAAGACACCCAATTCTGCACTTGGGATGGAAGAATCCCATGCACTGCTACAGACTAGGGTCCGAGTAGCTAGGCAGCAGTTCTGGAAAAAGGGACCTAGGGGTTACAGTGGATGAGAAGTTGGATATGAGTCAACAGTGTGCCCTTGTTGCCACGAAGGCTAACAGCATTTTGGGCTGTATAAGTAAGAGCATTGCCAGCGGATCGAGGGACATGATCATTCCCCTCTATTCGGCATTGGTGAGGCCTCATCTGGAGAACTGTGTCCAGTTTTGGGACCCCCCACTACAGAAAGGACGTGGACAAATTGGAGAGAGTCCAGCAGAGGGCAACAAAAATGATCAGGGGGATGGAGCACATGACTGATGAGGAGAAGCTGAGGGAACTGGGATTATTTAGTCTGCAGAAGAGAAGAATGAGGGGGGATTTGATAGCTGCTTTCAACTACCTGAAAGGGGGTTCCAAAGAGGATGGATCTAGACTGTTCTAAGTGGTACCACATGACAGAACGAGGAGTAATGGTCTCAAGTTGCAGTGGGGGAGGTCTAGGTTGAATATTAGGAAAAACTTTTTCACTAGGAGGGTGGTGAAACACTGGAATGGGTTACCTAGGGACATGGTGGAATCTCCTTCCTTAGAGGTTTTTAAGGTCAGGCTTGACAAAGTCTTGGCTGGGATGATTTAGTTGGGGATTGGTCCTGCTTTCAGCAGGGGGTTGGACTAGATGACCCCCTGAGGTCCCTTCCAACCCTGATATTCTATGAGTCTATGGGTATGTCTAAAGTATGAAATTATTTCGAATTTATTCTATTTGAATTTTCTGAAGCGATTTTATACATTTGGTCTTCTGTATCCCCAGTAAGTGCATGAACCTGGCACACTGTATCCACAGTACCGAGGCTAGCATCGAATGTCGGAGCAGTGCACTGTGGGTAGCTATCCCACAGTTCCTGCAGTCTCCACCGCCCATTGGAATTCTGGGTTAAGCTCCCAGTGCATGACGGGGCAAACACATTCTCACAGGTGTTTCTGGGTGTGTGTCATCAGTCGCTTCTCCCTTTGTGAAAACTATGGCAGACAATCGTTTCGCGCCTTTTTGGCATACAGACGCCATACTGCTTTTAGCAGACAGTGCACTGCTGCTCTCCTGCTACTATGAATCCACCTCGCATTTCCTCTTGTAATCTCTAGTGTCGACTCTTTCTCTTCCTCATCGACCGCTTCCACTGCCAACTCTACTCGGCCATCATGAACCGAGCAGCACACCTTCTGCCGCCAACTCTGTTCTCCCGCTCTTGCTGCGCTACCAAGCTTCTCCATGTTGTCTGTCCTGGGCTCCCGCCTCCGTGAAAGCTACAGAAGACAACCATTTCCCGCCTTTTTTCGGCTACCGTGAACCAAACAGCACCTCTTCCACTGCCACTCTGCTCTCCTACATTTCGTGCCCTTTTCCCAGGAATACCCATGCAGGCACCATAGCCATGGAGCCCGCTCAGATCTCCACTGCAGTTTTGACCATTGTAAATACCTCGCGCGTTATCCAGCAGTATGTGCGGGCGAGGAAGCGACGACAGTGCGATTACTATACTGATGAGGACATGGACACAGACGTTCCTAGAAGCATGGCGTGTGGCGATGGGGAGATCATGGTGGCGTTGGGCCAGGTTCATGCAGTGGAACGCTGATTCTGGGCCCGGGAAACAAGCACAGACTAGTGGGACCACATAGTATTGCAGGTATGAGATGATTCCCAGTGGCTGCGAAACTTTCGAATGCATAGGGCCACTTTCATGGAACTTTGTGACTTGCTGTCCCCTGAAGCGCAAAGACATCAAAATGAGAGCAGCCCTCACAGTTGAGAAGCGAGTGGCCATAGCCCTGTGGAAGCTTGCAATGCCCGACAGCTACCGGTCAGTCGGGAATCAGTTTGGTGTGGACAAATCTACTGTGGGAGCTGCTGTCCTGCAAGTAGCCAACGCAATCATTGACCGGCTGCTATCAAGGATAGTGACTTTGGTAAATGTGCAGACCATTGTGGATGGCTTTAATATGCTGGGGCTCCCTAACTGTGGTGGGGCGATAGATGGAACACATATCCCTATCTTGGCTCCGGAACACCAGGGCGGCCAGTACATAAACCACAATTTTTCCATGGTGCTGCAGGCACTGGTGGATCACAAGGGACGTTTCACCGACATCATCGTGGGATGGCTGGGAAAGGTGCATGACACTCGCAGCTTCAGGAACTCTGGTCTGTTTAAAGAGCTGCAGGAAGAGACTTACTTCCCAGACCAGAAAATTACTGTTGGGGATGTTGAAATGCCTATAGTTATCCTTGGGGACCCAGCCTACCCCTTAATGCCATGGCTCATGAAGCCATACACAGGCACCCTGGACAGCAGTCAGAAGCCGTTCAACTATAGGCTGAGCAAGTTCAGAATGGTGATAGAACGTGCATTTGGACATCTAAAAGTGCACTGGTGCAGTTTACTGACTCGGTTAGATCTCAGCACAACCAATATTCCAGTTGTAATTGCTGCTTGTTGTGTGCTCCACGATATCTGTGAGAGTAAGGGGGAGATGTCAATGGCGGGGTGGGAGGTTGAGGCAACTCACCAGGCGGCCAGTTTAGCACAGCCAGACAACAGGGTGATTAGAAGAGCGCAGCAGATTGCGCTGCACATCGGAGAAGCTTTGAAAATCAGTTTCATGACTGGCCAGGCTACGGTGTGACAGTTGTGTTTGTTTCTCTTAAAGTTACCCGCCCCCTATATATATGAAAGGAAATAAAGTCACAATTGTTTAAAAACTGTTTTTTATTATTTGTTGCACCAAACATTGAGAGAAATCAGAAGCTAGATGGCGGGGGGGTGGGGGGAGGGATTGGGTTATGGGGGTGGAGGAGGAGGGAAGGACAAGTCCAGAAACCAAATCAAAATTTGGGATATGCCAGCTTTCTGCTGCTTGTGCAATCCTCTGGGGTTGACTGTGTGGGTCCCCGTAGCCTCCCCCCAACGTGTTCTTGGGCGTCTGGGTGAGGAGGCTATGGAACTTGGAGGAGGGCGGTTATACAGGGGCTGCAGTGGCAGTCTGTGGTCTTGCTGCCTTTCCCGCATTAGATCCATCATACAGCGGAGCATGTCAGTTTGCTCCCCCATGAGCTTGACCATAGCATCCTGCCTGCTCTCATTGCACATGTCCCTCCTCTCTTCGTATTCATGTAACGCTTTTACGCAACTCCGCAATTGTTTGCCTCCACGCATTCAGCTGGGCCCTATCAGTGTGGGAGGACTGCATGAGCTCGGCGAACATATCGTCCCAAGTTCGTTTTTTCTGCCTTCTAATCTGGACCAGCCTCTGGGACGCAGTAGATAGGGGCCGGGTTGAAACATTTGCACTGGCAGGAGGAGAAAAAGGGGAGGGTGGTATTTTAAAAGATACATTCTAGAGAACAAAGGGGACACTCTTTCTCAGTGAAACAGGCAATTCACAGTACACAACACATGTTCTTTCTGTACAAGGTCGCATTTTGCCTCTTATACTGAAGTGCCTGCCACTTTGGTGTGAGTAAGCCATCGACGTTATTGATGCGGCTGGGCAACAGAATGCAGCTTGCAGGCAGCCTTGGTAAGCCGAAAGAGCACGCAGGATTCTGCTTCTTCCGCATTCATTTCAATGTTTTCAAACTGCCAGGCTCTCTGGGATGATCGCTTCACACAACACGCTCCCCCGCCCCCCCCCCTTCCCACTGCATGGCTCCGATGAGGCTCTGAGCAAGGATGAGCTAGCCCTTTAAACTAAATGCGAACAGCCCAGCACAGCTGGGTTTTCCCCCACTGCGTGGCTCCGATCAAGCTCTCACTCACCAGAAGTGCCTTCTCTGGGGTGATGGTCCGGGAGCATGCCTTGGGAGAGGGGGGAGGCTATTGTCTCCAGCGTTAAGAATAGTTTCTGGCTAGGGGAGGAAATAGATTCCCTACTTGCTGCCTGTGCACTGTCCTCCTCCTCCTCCTCTTCGTCCTCCAAAAACTCATCCTCCTTGCTCCATGCTACTCCCCCTTGCAGGTGTCCACGGACAGTGGTGGGGTTGTGGTGGCATCACCCCCCATAATTGCATGCAGCTCACGGTAGAAGCGGCATGTATGGGGCTGTGACCCAGAGCACCGATTCGCCTCCCTGGCTTTTTGGTACACTTGCCTGAGCTCCTTGATTTTTGTACGACACTGCTCTTTGTCCCTGGAGTAGCCTCTTTCCGTTGTGGCCCTGGAGACTTTAGCATACGTATTTGCGTTTCTTTTTTTGGAATGTAGTTCTGCCATAACAGATTCGTCTCCCCAGCATGCAATGAGATCCAGCACCTCCCGTTCGGACCATGCTGGAGCTCGTCTGCAAATCCGGGACTGCTTGGTCTCTGTGATGGTGGACTCTGCATGGTCGCCTGTGATGGTGGACTGTGCTGATGGTCACCTGTGCTGATGGTGACCAAACAGGAAATTCAAAAGTTCCCGGGGCTTTTACTGCTAACCTGGCTAGTGTATCGGAGTTGAGAGTGTTGTCCAGAGCGGTCACAAGGGAGCATTCTGGGATAGCTCCCGGAGGCCAATAATGTCGAATTCGACCACAGTACCTGTAACCCGGAACTGCGATCTCGATTTTAGCACTACTCCACTTGCCAAGGTGGAGTACAGAAATTGGATTCAAGAGCCCCTTAAATAAAAAAAGAAACTGGTTTGGTGGTGTGGATGGAATCAGTTTTATTTCGAAGTAACTGGGCTCATTCCGAAATAACCGCGTACTGTAGACCAGATTCTAATTCTTGCTGTGCAATGTGGTGAGATACGTATCAGGCTTTAAACCTGTCACTGAAGCAGGACTGAATATTGTCCACTCTGGGCATCAGAGCAGTAACGTTTGGGGAGGCAGGTCATGGGGGATACTGTATTTGAGGAGAAGAAACAAACATTTTCCTACAAGTTGATTTTTTAAAGTGGCAGCAGTTTGAAGCTGCTTGGGGCGGGGCTGGAATATCGAAACAGTCTCGAGGGAGATGGATTTCTGGGCAGAGTGCAGATGAAATAGACAAAGCTGTATGATCATTGCCATTTATCTCTGCCTCGCAGTTCATCAGATGCCTATCACTTCCAAAGTGTGTATGGGTGTAGTAATAACAGAGTCTCTCTCACACTCAGACACATTGTGGGGGCTGTCAAACCCCCTGAAAAGGGTTAGGTGATGAAAAAGGAAAATATTTCATAATACGTTTTGGCCAGTAACTTTGCAATAGAAAATATCAGTATAAAGGGAACCGGTATTAAAGGTACAGTGCAATGATAACTACACTTAAAGAAGCAGACAAACTGCAGAGTTTGACTCGCTTTTTGCTCAGGCTTTTGTTTGGATCAAGAATAGCTGTTTGCAGTGAGACGCTTCATGATTGTTTCAATCCTTGCCAGATTCTATATGAAGTTACAGTTGTGACTGGAGATATCCAAAATGCTGGAACGGATACCAGTGTTTACATGACTCTCTTTGGATCCAGCGGGAACACTGAGGAGATGCGGCTGGAAAAAAATGGAGAGAGGTACAGTATCTTGTCCTCTTTGTTCCTTAAAAACAGGCAACAACAAAGCTCAGCTTTCAAATTTAAACACAGTCAGGGCCCTGCTCCTGCTCCCACTGAAGTAAATGGCAAACGTGCCATTGACCATTTCCAAGTTGTGGTATCGGACTTAACAGCGCAGTGGGAAGAAATATACTGTGCAACAAGTGATATATCATCCTTGGGCATTTGCACAAGTCTTGGAGTTTAGCCTGTTTCTATGCAGTCTTAAAACTAGACATTATAAGGAAAATTGTGAATACAGATGCTCCCCGGGTTACACAAGACCCTACTTATGCAAATTCGCATTAATGGAAAAAGTTCCATAAACCAGAAATAGGATTTTCGAGTTGCAGAAATTTTTGCGTAACGTACAGGTATACATTTCCGACTTCTGCAAAATTCAAGTTACGCAAGGCTTTCTGGAACGGAACGATTGCATAAGTCAGGGGGCATCTAAAGTCTTGTGTCAGCTACAGCCAGGGTCCTATATATTCCATGATATCATAGAAGCAGTATTTGATGTGGAATCCACCTTTGCGGGAGAATCTAAGATTTGGGGATTTTATAAATTTATCTTTCATAGTTGTGAAGAAAATGTAAAAAACACGGATTGAATGTAAACTGACGCTGTAATTCTGCTGACAGAGCCATGTGGACTGACCCACCCATACCAAGGGGAGGTGTACTCTGTAGCCTCAAGATAACCTTTGTAATTACTTCACTAATGATCACTTTCACAGACACAGCTAAAATATGTACCTTATCATCCTAATCTGACTCCATCACCTTCCCAGATGCCAAAAGCTCAAACTGACCCTTATTCATCTGCCAAAACCACCAGCATCCTCGCTGATATCTTCTGCCATCCAGTTGTACCTTATCAAAATGTGAGGACAGCATGGAATGAATATCACAGGGATGACAGCAATGATTGTAAAATTCCATTTCAATTTTAGTTAAATAAACCCCTCCATTTTTAATATTTATACGAAGCTGCCACAGCGTTTCCAGGCTGCCACACCAGAAAGCTGCAGGATCCAAGGATCTAGCCACAAAATTAGATCCAGTTTGCTGTAGGGGACACCAGACCTTTGACCACAGCCTGGTAGCATGTTAACTGACTGAGTTCTGGTTCTGTGTATAGCACACTGACTAGTACTACTGAAAATAAGAGCTCTGTGGCCAGGATGATGAAGAGATGGTATATTTTCAGGTGGCAGTAAGGAATAGTTACATGGGCAAGTATATTCAAAGGACCTTGATGCCTTCCTGTGTTTCGTTATGTAACGAGAAGGGTGCTGTTGTTTTGTTTTGGAAAGGTAGAACGCATTTACCTCTGCCTAAAATCTCTTCATCATCTTCAAAGGACCCAACCCAGCAGAGTGGATACGCTCCCTTCTGAGCCATGCAGGCTACACATTGCCATCGCTTTTGGATCCAGACAGAGACACGCAGAAGACAGTTTGTTTCCAGGCATGCTCAGGTGCTTTTAACCTAAGAGCACCAGAGAGATGACCTTCCCCCACCTGCTGCCCTTTGCAGCTCCCTACACTTTTGCGGGTCTGTCTTCCAGTGTTTTAAGCCCAATGTGCAACCCCAGCAGGTCAGGGAGGGGGATGGACTGTTGTTTTTCTTGTTTAAGAAACAAAACCAGTCCCGTGTCAGCTGAAAATGCCTATGAGGGATGGGGAGAGACTCCCAGGCACTGGAGAGGAGTCCTTCAAGATAGCTGTAGATATCCCAAACTCCCCCCGTTGACTGAATAAGCCGGGAAATAACTTACATTACTGTACCTACTGAGGGAAGCCCACAAAGCTTCTATGACTAATTTTAAAGAGACCTTACCACAACATACTACATTGTGTGCCGTGACAGGGCCCCACAAAACATAGTGAAAAGCAACAGAAGCAGCAACGAAAGTACATGGCCAGCGAGTGACACCTAAGGAATAACAGCTAATGTGTGCAATATATAAAGCAGGTTTGCACATACTGTAGCTCTCCCACAAGATGTCACAGACCAGGGCATGGGCAGTCAAGCCTAGTGCTCGGAGCAGCCGCTGTCCAGCCTAGCGCTAGAGTCGAGATCCAGGAGCCAGAGCCGAGGGTCAGGAAAAAGGAGTCAGAAACCAAGTAGGACTGGAGTGGACTGGAGCAGGATAGGAGCAAGGCTGGCGCAAGGCTGAGAACAAGGCAGGTACGGAGCGATTGACGCTGTGGGCATACACAGTGAGCATCCCCTGGCTGAGTGCTACTAGTGGTCTTTAGAGCAGTCCTGGCAATGCCACTCAGCCAGTCAGACCATCCAGCTAATTAGGGGTTAACTAGCTGCTCCAGGCCCAACTGCAGGCCCTCATTCCTGACCCAAGATTGATTGTAACCTGCCCATTACTTGCATTGGCATGGCTGTCCTTAACACCCTCATCAGACGGGAACTTTACACAATGTGCACACTGCCTGTTTACTTGTAATTCCTGTTGTCTCTCAGCCCAGCAATTCACAACACAAACTTCCATTGATTCAAGTCCCATACAGAAACATCTGTAATCATCACACAACTGGACAGAGAGAGGGGGAGGAGAAGGCACTGAATACAAAATTGTTAAAAGAGACACTTCATCTTTATTGGGGCCATCCAGTACCAGCTCACTGACAGGAGCTCGCCACCTTACAAAGAAACAACTCTCTAACCTGTCACAGATTTAAGGCGATTTTAGTTACGTTACTGTTTATTGCCCAGACCTCAAGACAATAGAAACATTTTTTAGTGGAGGCATGGATAGGAAAGCTTAATGAAATCCTGCAGACAAATGGTTCAGTGTCCTGAAGAAGACATTTTGCCAAATACTTTATCTCCTCCAGTATTCCTTCCCTGCCCCCCCCCCCCCAGTTTTTATTCAGATTTACAATTCTTATGTTCATGCTCATATAAATTAGGGATAGAAAAGACCAATTAGGTCCTCCAGTCCATCTCCTTAGGGCGATTGTTTCCCTATAGTGTAATGAGTTCTTGTGAGTAATGGGTTGGATATGAAACCTACAAATTCTGAACAGGATATTGACTGATGACAGGAGGTTGAAAGAACGGGTTGATGGGAGACTGCTTAGACTAGAGTTATTTAGCCTGGAAAGGACAAAAGTGTGATGGGGCATAAAGCTTTACAAACAACGGTGTCCGTAATGAAAAGTGATGGTTTGCTCCTTTTCATTTTGTCTTAGAAAGTTAGAAACTGGAGAATCAATCCACTTATATCATGAAAGGAAATATTATTTTCCACAGTGTATAGTGAATCTTGGAATTCACTACCACAGAAAGGAACTGAGGCAAAGAACTTAGCACAAGTTTTCATGAGGGTGAGGGTGAGGTAAATTTAATCATTAATTCCTAGAAATGTACCTGAGTCAAAACCCCACACCTGATGCCTCTGTAAATCTGGGGAATTTAAAGTCTGGATGAAAATTTTGCAGCTCATGCCAAAACTATTGGTAGCATCTGCAGCTATGCAGGCTGAGATAATGGCTCAAGGATAATCAGATTTACTCTATAGGGTGTAATCTGACCAGAGGCTGGAAAGAAATGTTTCCCTCATATCACAGAGTTTCACAACTGGTAGCAGATACAGCCCACTGCCAGGAATGGGGTACCATTACTATTTATTATCTAGGCTGTAGTAGTGCAGTGTACAAAGCTGTGTCCAAACACATGAGAAGACACATGCCCTGTTCCCTAAAAAACCTCATGTTCACAACTTTTAAATGATGGACAAATGGGAAGACCATATCACACATAAGCAGAGGAGCCAGAGTGATGGCTGGTCGTTCCACTGTTGTTTTGGGGAATAGTTTATGCAAATATTCCTATCTCCAACTGCCCTGCTAGCTAGTGATTAGTAGTTGGCTATTTTCTTGTAGGTCTACAGCAATCCTGCCAGCCTGTGTGGGATATTACAGGGTGGGCCTGGGGGATGCATTGACTGTAGACAGCCTGCAATAACACATGCTTCTCACTATAGGTGAACAGTGGCCCCTCTGGAATCAAAGGTTAAACTCCTGTTGACTTCAATGGGTCCAGGATTTCTCACTGTAAGCATAGATACTAAGCAGCTGGTGAACTAGACACACTTAACCAACGTACTACATCATTCAAGATGCACATTCCAGCCCATCAGTTGGCCCTTTTTCCCCTGGTTGCTCCTCAGCAGCAAAGGCCAATGTTCCCTCTACTCTCTTCTCCGCATAGTGCAACAGCATGACAGAATACAAGCCCTGGCTTGAGGCCGAGTTTCCAAACACTAGCCTGTCCCAGGTGTAACAGGAGATGGCTTCAATCTGCAAACCTCAATTCCAGATTCAATCTCTCAAAAAGTTTGGGGATATGTAGATGAGGTTTGTAGTTTTGCCCCATCTCTACTAGCAACACAATTTGCATGTGCACGGTATAAACGTAGTTATATCTGTGTTACAACCAGAGTAATGAGCCGTGCTGTAGATTAGCTTGGGCAACCTACAGTGGGGTTTGTATTGGCTTAATTCTCAAGGAAAAAGAATCTCTCTCCCAACTGGGCAGGGGAAGCTTGCCAGAACCGTGCTAGCATGCAATAACCAGACTGGGAAACTCAAGTCCAGAACGGTGCACATAGAACAGGTGGTTTACAACCATTTTTACTGAGGTTGCTGGCCTGGTTTGAGTTGTAGTATGCACAGAGCATGGTGAATGCATCAGCACAAGAAACCAAGCCAGATAATACAAAACCTGCGTGACCTTTTAATTTCTCCAGATTCGAGAGAGGTCAGGAGGACACTTTTATCATGGAGATTGCAGATATTGCACCACTCAGGAAGATGAGGATCCGGACTGATGGGAAGGGGACACGTCCAGACTGGTTCCTGGAAAAGGTAACATGGTTACTTCATGCAGTACACAAATCTGAACTCTGTTTTATCGAGGCCCCAAGCCCTAGTGGCGGGAGAGCAGAAAGGGACCAAGCTGTGAGTAGGAATAGTTGCCTTTCTCATTCACACCATAATTAACATTCTTGTAAAAAGAACAGGAGTACTTGTGGCACCTTAGAGACTAACACATTTATTTGAGCATAAGCTTTCGTGAGCTCCAGCTCACTTCATCAGATGCAAGTGAGCTGTAGCTCACAAAAGCTTATGCTCAAATAAATTGGTTAGTCTCTAAGGTGCCACAAGTCCTCCTTTTCTTTTTGTGAATACAGACTAACATGGCTGCTACTCTGAAACCTAACATTCTTGTAGTGTTTCTTTCCTTTCAGTTTCCGAATTCTTATCCCGGCAGAATCTGAGACCAAGGAGATTGGAGGGTGCGGGAGGGGAAAAAATGCAATGTATAACTTTCCCCAAATGAAAAGGAGTACTTGTGGCACCTTTCCCCAAATGGAGTCTCTGCTGTTAAACGTCTTTCTTCCTTACTAGGAAAGAACGCTGGCTCAGTGCCAGTGTACCTGGAATATGTTATGGACTGTATGATGTAGTGAGAGCATCTAGAAAAACTGAGCTGCTGTGTGTGCATTGAAGAAATGATCATTCACTAGCAAGTGTGGGTACATAGTACCAGCTGAGCTGGCTGGTGCATTATAAAAAGACAGTTCTGGGCAACTGTAAATCCTGTAAAACTGGAATGCATCTCCCATCCCCCACGCAATTTTTTTTTCTTTTTTCGTATGGCAACTATGGATTATTTTCTCTCTTGTGTTTCCAATGGAACCAATAATCTGGCTGCGCTGGGAAGAGGGATCAAGAAGCATATGGGGCAGCACTGCAGTGGGGTTTCCAGGTATGGGATGTAGCAAAGGCCATCACCATATGTATCACAGAGAGCAGATACTTAGGGGGGCACATGCTGCTTCTTCCTAAGGCAGTGTCAGGAGCATTCGAAGGTATGCCCCATTCAGCATGGACTAAGGCATTCTGCTTGCCTCTGCCCTATGTAGGCTGCAGATGCTAGAGGTGTGCTACTCAGCTGCCATGAATCTACACCCTTATCTTAGCATGCCAGCGACAAGTAAAGCCAAAATTGAGATACTTAGAATCCAGATGACTTTCCCCAGGAGATGAATTTGTGACAAGTCACATTTAGGGGTTGCTGTATATCTCTTCAGCAGCAGAACTGTTTCTAGGTTTGGCTGTTTTTTGTATTGTTTTCTAGTTCAGCTCTTGAAAGGTCTGTGAGGTCTGGTCTACACTACACAGGTCGATGTAGGGCAGGTTACGGTGACCTACTTATGTCAGTGTAAACACTACAGCCTCGTCGCGCTGATGTAAGTGCCCTACTACAGCAACATAATAACTCCACCTCCACGAGAGGTGTAGGGCTTATGCCGATGTACTTAGGATGACACAGTGTAGACACTGCACTACTTAGGTAGGCTCTTGGCTGTCCTGTCAATTTCAGGGCTCCATGCTGGAGTTGTGAAACTGACAAGAAAGTTGGGCAGCTAGAGCCCAGCAGCCCCCGGCTCCCTGCCAGGCTGTGCGCACCCGGCTCCCCACTCCCAGGCAGGCTGCACCTGCCCTAGCTCCCCACTCAGGGAGCCAAGAAGCCTGGGCAGTTGCCCCCTCTCCCAGCGGGGAGATGAGAGGCCCAGATGGCTGGCCCCTGTTTCCCAGTGGGAAATGGGGAGGTGAGAAGCCTGGGCAGCTGGCCCCGCTTCTGGTGGGAAACAGGGAGATGAGAAGCCCAGGCAGCTGCCTCCCCACTCCTCTCAGGGAACAGGGGCCCTGGCTCTCAGCCGCCCCACACTGCCCCTCTTCAGTCAGTGGAAGCACTCCTGGTGAGGACAGGCACCACCGACAGAAGGAGGGTAGTGTGGACATCAGCCACCACGGTAAATCAACCTAACATAGGTTGACTTAAGTCTGTAGTGTGGGCATGCCCTCTGAGACTCCAGACTGCTTCTTCCTCTGACCTAATTTCCTTGTGGTGTATTTGTAGCCCCATGGTCATTATTTCAGGACACAGGAAAGTTGCTCTACATTTGAACCCAAATGTAACAGTTTTTATTGCAGGGTCATTTCTGTTACTCTGAGTGAGCCTCATTTGTCAATTGGCAGATTCAATAAGGGCAGAGTTCTTACGCTCTCTCTACACTTTCCCCAAAGCATGTCAAGCTCATATATTCTGAAGTTTTCCTTTCAATCTTTAAGGGGAAGAGAGTGTTTGGGTGAAATTTTCAATGAGACTTAGCTTTCTAAGGTTATGTTTCTAAGAGCCGTAGGTTTCTAAGGGCCAGATTTCCAAAGGTATTTAGGCATCTCAAGATGCAGACAGCTGCCTAATGAGATATTCAAAAGTGCCTAAGCAGATGAGGTGCCTAACTCCCAATTAAATTAATACTCCTTCATTACTAATGGATTGGAAAGTACTTCATTTTCATCATGTGATACAAGTACATCAACCTGCTTCTTTCCAAATACAGAACAGAAATATTTATTAAACATTTCTACCTTTTCAACATCATTATTAACAAGTTTTCCATCTCCTTTTAGTAATGGTCCTATATTTTTGTTAGGGTTTCTTTTGCTCCTAATATACTTTTAAAAAAACAGCTCCATTTTATTTTCCTTTGCCCTACTAGCCATGGATTTTTTCCATGGTGACTTTAGCTTCCCTTATCAATTTTTTGTGCATATTAACTTATAATTTATATTCATTGCTATCTACTCTATCCCCCATTTTTTCTATTTGTTATGTATTACGAATTTTTTTCTAATTTCTGCCTTCACCACTTAACGAGGATGGGCTTTTACTCAAAGTGTCCTCTTTCTTGACTGCAGAATTTGGCATTTTAGCTGTCTAATACCCTCCTCTTAAACAACTCCCAATTTTCATTCACATTTTTCTGTCTAAAATTTCCTCCCAATCAATTTTGTTCGTTTTCCTCAGTTTGGGGAAATTAACCCTTTTGAAGAACTGCTGCTTGGGACTGTCTTCTTTTCGCCCACATTAGACACAATTAGGTCATGATCACTGGTCCCTAAGCAACCACCCACTGGGGTGATTAATTCATCTTTATGCACATGAGCGAGGTCCGAAATAGAGTCATCTTATGTTGGGTGCATTTTGTGTTAGAAAGTTACCAACTATAATTTTTAGAAACACTAAGACTTAAATACTAAGTTTTACTATTGGCTGCATGAGACCTACAACATATTTTCAAATTGAGGATGTGAAAACATAACTTTTATTTCCGTACACCTTACAGAGAGGTGCTTAAGGAGTAATGCATACTGTTCTCTAGTTTGATTTGGTGGTCTGTAACAGACCCCCACCAGTACCTTCCCCTGGGTTTGTTAGCTAGAGCATTGATTTATATGCATTCAAGACCCAGTGGTTCTGAGATATCAATAACTATAAAAAAGTTAATGGTATCTGTAATGTAGAGTGCCAGCTCTTTCACCCACTCTGTCCTTCCTAAACAGGTTGTAACAATGTAATGATTTTAACACTCTAATAATGTGTCCCACAAGGTTTCAGCAACACCAAAATCAATTATATCACATTTCTTCTCAGTGAGAATTTCCAGCTCTAATTGTTTATTGCCCAGACTCCTAGCATCAGTATGTAAGCAACTGATATTTTCCTTCTCTTTACATTCTTTGTCACATTGGTTCAATTTGTTCATTAAAGGCTGAGTTTGTACAACATTCACCTCCTTACCATTCTCCTCTTGGATTGTTAATTTAACACCCTCCGGGCTGCTCCAACTAAGAAGTCCATTGCTGAATTATCTGTCCACTCTGATGGAGTCACCAATGATGATTGCTTGTCTTCTTAGGACAGTTGAAGAATCTCTCTTGGTAGCTGATTGCTTCATACCATATCACAAGAACGCCCATCAAGTATGTCTCCTGTAGCATTCTGTTCCATTCTTCTAGAGATAAGTTCCTTGATAGTTGGCTCACTGAGCTGGCTCACTAGCTGGATTGAATGCCACCTGTTTCTCTTTCCTCCCTCTTGGTCTCAAATTGCCTATCTTCTTCTTTGGTTTATACTCTCTCCAATGGCAAACCTTCCCCATGTGGAATCTGTGGTGATAATTTCTGAATCTGGTTGTCCAAAAAGACTTCGTTTTCTCAGACACTACACAGTGTTGATACCTGTGCTTCCAGACTATGTATTTTGTCCTCCAGTATGGCCACCAGCTTGCATTTCATGAACCAGAAATCTTTACTATATTCCAGCAGAAAGGAAAACATAGCACATCCAAAGCAAAACACAGCAGTTGTTCTCTCGTCATTCATATCCACTACCTGGCATAGAACCATACTTAAAACAGAAGGAATCACACTTCCTATTGCAGTTCCCTCCAAAACTCCCCTGGTTACTCCTGTTCTCCTCCTTAAATGTTCACTTGGCAACTGACTTATATACTAAGACTTGCTGCTTAACTTTACCCCATCAGAGACTTCAAACACCAGATCTGATCAAAGAATCCCAGCCACATGGTCCTCATGGAGATGCAACAAATAGACCTCACCTGACCTGACCTGTTCACCTGGTAACCCCCAGCCACACAGCCCTCACAAGGTATGTCTTACACAGGGATTAAAAAAAACCGCTGCTGGCCCAGGTCAGCTGATTTGAGCTCATGAAGCTTGGGCTCCGAGGCTGAAAGATCACAAGGGTGCAGGGTCCCAGAATTCGGGCTCCCTCCCAAGCCTGAATGTCTACACAGTGATTTTTAGTTCAACAGCCCAAGCCCTCTGAACCCGAATCAGCTGACTTTGGCCAGCCACCATCATGCCACAGGTATTTTATCCCTGTGTAGACATCCCACAGAGACAGACAAACAACTAATGCACTACATTCTTTTTTAATGCTTTTGAAAATCGGGTTTAGGGTCCTAAACCACTTGGGCACTTTTGAAAAT